TCTTGGCTTCATCTGATCAGCATAGAGAGTGGTGTACTTCTCCACTAGCTATTTCTTGAACCTTCCTGGAAAAGGGATATTAGACTTGTAATCTGGAAGAACATAAGCTTTGTCTTCCTTCTTGGTTTCAAAAGCTTCAAGTGGCGTCCACTTCTCTTATTTCTTGGTGGTTTCTTCTTCAAGATACTTCTCCTTAGTGGCATCAGCTGCAATAAGCTCATCTTCCCAACTCTGAAGTTCAATGTCCTCATTGATTAATGAAAGAAAGTCTTCAATGATAGCTTCTTCTTCAAGAGGAGTGAAAGCAACTTCAGACTCAACAGCTTGGCAATACTTTTTGGGATTCATCTCACACTTTCCTGGAAGATTGCCTTGGGGGCGTGGTCCTGTAGCTATGCTCTTGTTGTTCTCCAATGTTTTTACTCTCGCAGTTAGACCGTTAAACTTGCTTGTGAGCTCCACATGAACTTTGTCTATCTTGTTGTGAACATCTGCAAATTTCTTGTTCATTTCCAAGGTACCATTAAGCTGAGATTGTAGCACATGTTGGATGAGGCTCTTGATTTCAGAATCTTGAGAGCTAGATGAGCCTTGAGCTGGTTCTTGAGCAACAAAACCTGGAGGGTTAAACTGGGGTCTTGGCTGGCAGTTGCCTTGGTTGTTGTTCATAGGCACATAACCTTGATTTTTGTTGTTGTAGGGAACAAATGGCTTTTTCTATCCAGATTGTTGTTGGCCTTGTTGAGGAGGGTACACTTGATCGTGTGGGTTTGCAACATTATTACTCTTATAGGACAGATTGAGTTTGTTCTTATAGTTGTAATTGTTGTAACCTTTTTGTTTTCCAAGATAGTTCATCTCTTCCACTTGGCAACCCTCTTGGTCTTGAAGCTGAACCAAATCACCAACAAAGTTGACATCTTTCCTTTCCTTCAACAGCTGATCAATATTCTCATGAAGAGCCTTGATCTCTTTCTTGTTGTTCTCAAGCTCATCCTTAGCACTTCTAGGAGTTCTATCATACTCCTCATTGTAATTTCCATTTAATTTTGCAAGGTTCTCAACCAATTCCATTCCCTCATCAACATCCTTAGATAGAAAGTTACCATTAGAGGCTGTGTCTAACAACATCCTTATCTTTGGGAGGGTGCCCCTGTAGAGAGTAGAGAGGAGTGAAGCTTGTGAAAACCCATTATGAGGGCACTGAAGTGTGTACCCTTTGAACCTCTCCAATGCTTCACCAAAACTCTCATTCGACAGTTGAGCAAAACCAGAGATCTCATTTCTCAATCTAGCAGTCCTAGAAGTTGAGAAAAACTTAGCTAGAATGGTTATCTTGCACTGCTCCCAACTAGTTATGCTTCCTTCTTGAAGATTCTTCTCCCAAAGATGGGTCTTATCTCCTATGCTGAAGGGAAAAACCTGAGCTTTAAGATTTCCTCACTAATCCCACTTATCTTTGTAATGTTGCAAAGCCTGTCAAAGTTGTCCAAATGGTCCAAGGGATCTTCTAGTTGGAGACCATGACACTTGTTGTTTTGCACCACAGAAATCAAACTTGGCTTGATTTTAAAGTTGTTGTTTGGGAGTGGTGGAGGAATGATGCCATTTCTGTTGTTATAGGCGTTGGGAGCAACACCGGCACCTATAGGCCTCATGGGCGTGGTGCATGTGCTGGTTCTCTCTGACTTTGCTCACCTTGGACTATTTGTTGACCTGAAAGCCAGCAACTCCCTAAACTCCTGGTGCTCCTTGTGGACCCTGAAACCTCCTATCATCCATACCATGCTGCTCCCTTTATATGCTTGCTCTCAGTGCTCTCTCAACTTGCACAATGTTGTCTTGATAAGCCAGCAGATTCTGATTGCCTCTTGGCGTCAAATGCATGCACCTTTAAGAGAGAAACAAGAGTAAAACAGAGTTTGTGACCAAATTCACATAAAAGCTTGATCTTAGAGTTTCTACAAATCCTAATGATCCAAACAAAGACCAATGGCAACGGCGCCAAATTGATACAAAGATTTTGAGTCTCTTTCTCAATTACCCAAACTTGTACTAGTCATTTAAAACAAAGACCACTTTAAAATGTGTATGGGTTTTTTGTCAAATCCAATGGTCTAAAATGAAAGCACTAGGAATGCAATAAAACCTGTAAGTCAAGCTAAATCAAGAAAGAGAGTTGTTTAAACTACTAAAATAATAAAACAAGTATTAAGCAAGACTAATTAATGCAATACTTAAGCAATAATCAAGCACAAAACAGAGCAAATGCGAATTCGAAATTCAATATATAAATGCAAGGATCCTGGATGTGCTTATGGAGATTGAGAAAATCAAAGGCAATATTAGGCCGTTATCAATCTCATTAACAATGCAAACAAACAAGTAATCATAATTACTATGCATATAATACACAATTAAGCAAGCTAAACCCAATCTCTTGGTGATTAACACTTTGCTAAACATCCTAACAAAAACTAACTCCCATTAGTGCTAGAATCAATAGCAAGCAAGCATAAACCAACTCTATTCAAGCCAAAATACTTCTTAGACAGTCAATCCCTTGAGCTAAGACAAGTAAATCCTCTAAAAGACAAAAATCAACATTTCATCAAACACTTGGTGGGCAGAAGAGAAAGCTTAAATATAGATTCATTTGATCAAGACAAATCTAGCCTAAAAACAGTCTAATTGAGAGGAATCAATCAATATTAAGCACTAACAAACATTAATCAAGCCTTAAATTCTCTTAATCTACCACATCTAAGAACCTATCAAGGACTACTCATTAATCATCATGTATACCATCAAATTCATGAGGAAAAAGATGTTAAACATGATTAAGAAGAGAGATTAAGAGAGATTAAAACTCGAAATACAAAAACTTAGATTAAAAGGAGGATCTTGTTCTTACAAAGCCAAAAAGTAATTAAGAGAAACACAAAATTAAAAGGAAGAACAAGACTTGCTAATATTTTTAGGTCTAAGCCTATTTATACTAAGTAACAAAAAACCATAAAAGAATGGCAAAATTGTAAATAAAAGAGGTTCGGATGGGAGGATGTCGAGCTAGGGTGCTCGCCATGCATGCTCGATATTGGTGTCTGAGTGCTTGATGTCGAGCTGATGATGGTTGACATCCATGCTCGATGTGATTCTCGTGAGTCTCGAGCCAAAGATGGCATGCGCCATGCTTGCTCGGCATTGATGTACTGTCTCCTGAGTCGACCTCTGAAGCTCAACATAGATGCTCGACATAGATCTCTTCTTTCTCGGGTGTAAAATGCAGTGCGACATTGCTGGATGATATCAGGATGTCGAGCTGGAGGCCCAACATTAGAGCTCGACATAGATCCCAAAATGCACTCTTTAGCTCCTCTTGATTCTCCATGGTTGAGGTAATTCTTTAGATCACTCCCAAGCTCCCACCATGTCTCCTAAGACTCCTTAGGTACCTGAAAACATTTCTTATGCAAAGAAAATGTGATATATCATGGTTTTTATGTTTTTTTAACCATGGAATAAGTCCTTTTTATTGAGTCTTTTTTGTCTTTTTAGAGTCCTAGTAGAGTCTTTAAATGTTATAGCATGTCTCGAGCACAATTTGATATTATAGAACTTTTTCGAGCATTGCAAGATACAACCACGAAGTGTGTAACTCATAAGGCGAATACAGGGCTGGGTGACGCTTGTCACCACTCAAGGGTAACGCTCGTCACCCGTAGAGGAAGGAGTCGCGATGGTTTGTAAAAAGATGGAGGATTATTTGCAGAATCAGCCCAGAATTTTCCAGTATACGCAAGAATGCCCCAACTCGTGTTTTAGCTTGTATATTTTAGGTTTTCATGTACTCTTTTTGGAGAAGATTTCGAACCCCTTTATCTTTTATTCTATTCTTTCAATGCAATGCTTTGTGATTCCATGATCATGTCTGAGTAATTTGCTAGTTAAGTTAGAGCTTTTCAAGGGTTGATGATGAGTTTGTAGAAATCGCTACCTGTTAGGAGTATATGTTGGTTCTTCATCTGTGCTTGCTTTAAAATCGATTTTCTTAGACACATCATCTGGAATTTTGCAACCTGGGTTGTTTAATAGATGTGAGAGCATTATTGATAACCTGATCTAGCATTAGATGAGCAAAACGACTTAGTGCAAAGAGATTTGGCTTAGGAGTTTTGTGAATAATTGAACTTGATCATTACTGCATGTTTAGATTGTTAGGGTTTACAAAGAGTTTTGAAACTTTGTGATTTCGACATAGTTAACTCTCTTGAAAGGAGAGAAAGAAAATGGGATTTCGAAATTGAAAAATCATAAACTTTATTTTATTTGATAAATAAATTAGATACAAACAAACAGAAGAAAAAATGAAAGCAATATTAATGTCAATGATATATGAATTTTTACAATATTAATTTTTTCCTTTAATGATTTTATTGTTATTAATGTATTTAAATGATTTACTCCATTATTCATGAAAATCTATGAGAATATAGAGAAACCATATATTTCAATTTGATTATTTATTACATATATATTATTTTAACAAGTTTTAAAGAAAAAAATTAAAAGAAGAATTTATAATGGTTTATGTTAGTTTATAAAGTGACATATGTCAGTTTGTAAAGTGATATGTGTCAATATATCAAAACTATTTTTAAAATCAAAAAAATAAACTATTATATAAAATTTTATATTTTTGATAAGATCTATAAAATAATAAAATTAATACTTACTTTCCAATAATAATACAAAAATGATATAAGAATGTAAATGATATATAAGTTTTTAAAACATTAGTATTTTCTTTAATGATGTTATTGTATTAATGTATTTAAATGATTTACTCTGTTTTTTGTGAAAATCTGTGGAGATTGTATGATGAGAATATACAGAAACCATATACTTCAAATTTTATTTATTTATTTACATATATTATTTATTTAAATTTATAGAAAAAACAAATAAAACAAGAAGGATTGTTCCCCATTTTTTTTCCATTTTTGTTCTTACCAGATAATACATATTATTTTTATCCAAAAAAATGAATTTTTAGATTCTATAAAAAAGCAAAGGTTGTGTCTTTGGCACATCACATCCCATAGCATTAACATAGCTCTCCTTCTCTCTTACTCCATTACCCTCTTTGGTGCTCTGTTTCTTAACTTAAATATGGAAGGAGCTGTTGAAATCATGTTGGGAAATGGATTACCAGAGATTCACAAAGACACGACCAAGACTGTCCACTCCAACCAGCAGGACTGGTACGAAAAAACCATCGATGATGATCTCAAGTGGTCTTTTGCCCTTAACAGGTTTTCTTCTTTCTTTTGTCTGAACTTTGTTTTCGATTAATAATAATCTTGCCCGTTTTATAAAATAGTTTATTTCCTTTTTATTTTTTCAATAGTGTTCTCCATCAAGGAACTAGTAAGTACCAAGACATTGCTCTGTTGGACACCAAATGGTTTGGAAAGGTACAAATTTTTCTTCAAACGTTTCTTATAAAACATTACATGTTCAAAAGTTTTATAACTTTGATTAACTACAAATTTCTTAGAGTAAAAATATATATGGTAGTAAGAAATATTGGTATCTAAAACAGGTATTTGTGATTGATGGGAAAATGCAAAGTGCAGAGAGAGATGAATTTATCTACCATGAATGTTTGATCCACCCGGCCCTCCTTTTCCACCCAAAGTACGCATTCATTTTGTTTTCAGTTACATTTTTTGTAAACTTGATATTTTCTAATATGCAGTCAATTAGTTTATAGGGTGGATTTACTATAAAACTAAACTGGGATAGACATTTCGAAAAATTAAAGTTGCCAAGTAGGGAATAATTTGCAGAAAAGAAAAGTGGTGCAACGTTTTTATCCTGATTCATGTATAATATCTGAGAATAGCGTGGCATCATATATAAGATGAAATATTTTTCGCAAAATCCATGCTACTTTGAAACATCATGTGCAAAAAAGAATAACATTATTTTAAAAAATATCATTAGACTATAGAAAACCCAAACCCTGGTCATTTGGTGGTAATTTTTTAGTTTATATTTGTATAATGCACGACACGTAAAATAGCCTATATTAAATTTTGTACTAAACTATCACTAGCAATTCTATCTGCTTGCTTCCTATACATGCACATTTTAAATTATAGAAAATAGTTTTGAACTGTGCGAGGAATTTTTGTTATTTACTTTAACCATTTCTCTACGATTAGCCAGAAAACGGTGTTTATAATGGGAGGTGGAGAAGGCTCTGCTGCAAGAGAAATACTAAAACATAAGACCATCGAGAAAGTGGTCATGTGTGATATTGATCAGGTTTAGCCTTTTATTTCTAGATCTATTATCAAAAACTTATCACCGGAAATATACAATCATTCTATATAAACAGGTGCTAATTTTTCAGGAAGTTGTTGACTTTTGCAAGAAATTTCTAACCGTTAACAACAAAGCTTTTTGTAACAAGAAGCTTGAACTTGTGATCAAAGATGCAAAGTAAGGAGACAAAAGCACATAAATATATCAAAAGAATTTTTTCTTTTAACAGAATCAAAAGAAGTTATATATGACTTATCATATTTTTCTTAACATAATTTAATTGTCAAATTTTTAATCGCAAAAAGAGCTGAATTAGAGAAACGAGAAGAGAAGTTTGATGTAATAGTGGGAGATTTAGCAGATCCAGTGGAAGGTGGACCATGTTATCAGCTCTACACCAAATCTTTTTATCAATACATCCTCAAACCAAAGCTCAGCCCCATTGGAATATTTGTGACTCAGGTCTTTCATAATTTTTTATTTTTTAACATTATTTCTATTAAAATATTTATATTCTTAGCAAAAAACAAAAGAATCTTTTTAATAATACTTTCTGATATTCTTAACAAAAAATAGGCTAGACCAGCAGGGATACACACAAGGAGGTCTTCACTTCAATTTACAACACCTTGAAGCAAGTCTTCAAATGTAAGCCTCTTTTGTGTTTTCTTGTAGACATTTTTGTGGTCATTTTTTATGACTAAAAAGCAAAAAATGAAAACAGACGTGAAGGCTTACACAGCACACGTACCATCATTTGCTGACACGTGGGGATGGGTAATGGCATCAGACCAAGACTTTGAGTCTGAAGTTAAGGAAATGGATCGAAGAATCCAAGAGAGAGTGAAAGGAGAATTGATGTATTTGGATTCTCCTTCTTTCTTCTCTGCTGCTACCCTCAACAAGACCGTCTCTCTTGCGTAAATTCAGTTTTCTCTTTCCTTTTAAGTTTTGATTGGTAACGTCATAAATTATATTTTTAACATCCGATTTTGTTAATTTAGTTATTTACAAAATTAAAATTAAATTGGACAGACTAGAGAAGGAGACAGAAGTTTATAGTGAAAAGAATGCGAGATATATTCATGGCCAGGGTGTGCCGTACCGCGCATACTTGAAAAAAGAACCCGATTTATTTTAGATTAAAAACCAGTTTTCTTTTCTCCGCATATAATCAAATGTTGTCCTAATTAAGTTTGGTTGGGTTTTATTCAATACATTTCTTGCGCCTTTGCTCCGTCGCCCTAAAGCTATCCAGTGTAGTTTGATAAACAAAACTATGCATAGTATGATTATTATTATTATTATTACTAAAAAGTAATATGTGCGTTACCGTGGATCATTTGCATTTATAACTTAAATTGCAGTGTTATTTTTTTTTCAAAAATGAATAACAGCATCTCTAATGGAATTTTAGTTCTAAACTTCATTTTTAGAGTAAAACCTTCTCGAACGGTATTCTATATTTTTTAAAGTAAAACTTATTTATTTATAAAACAATTTTTTAAATTTTAATAAGTTTTTATTTGGTATTGAAACAAATTTTAAATATTTAATATAACACTTAAACATAATTATATCAATAATAACAAAGTATATAATTAATTAAAAATATAAATGCAATATTAAAACATATTAAATTGAAAATAATATGATAAATTAAAAATACATTATTAATATTAAAATAATAAATATGAAAAAACCTAACACAAGATTAATTCAACTGATCTAATATTCTGAAAATTCGTTTCCAAATCCTTGAAAGTCACTGAAATATTGTTTAAATAAACTAGATGCAAAAAGAGCTTCTTGATCAATTCTTTTTCTTAAGATTCAAGTTTGTTCAATTTGAACATACACACAAATACTTGGATCTAGTATAGAATTTAAGTTTTGAAGTAAAACTTTGTTTTCTTCTTTGAGTTCCTGTAACTCAAAATTCTTACTTTGAATTTCCAAATTGTATTGTTTTTGTGCGCTTGTCTTCTTTAACTGTTTTAGAAACTGTTTAATTCATTTTTCTATAATCTTGATAATATCCGATCTTTCATCATCAATTTTTCTTTTGTCACTTAAGTTTAAAAAAAACAAAGACAAGCCTGAAAATGCTTGTGTAGCGGAATCATGCGTAAAATTTTCCGATTCTGAAGATGTAAAGCCCAACCTGCATGGATTCGATACTTTTTTGACAGAAATGGCACCATTTTTAAACTTTTCAAAATTCTTAACAAAGTTCTATACATGATCAAATTTCCAACCAGATTTGAATTTTGAATCTTCCATCACCATTTTTTTAGCTTGCTTGAGCTATATACATTTGTAAAACAAAAATAAATAAATATTTTAAATAACAAAAAAATTATATATTAAAACTTACAATATCATCATTTTTGAAGCACAACTTTGATGTCTGTTTTCACATTGTTTGATGCATGCATATAGTTTTTTTGTTGCTCACTCAATATTTTGAAATTAACAATGGATCGATTTTTTTTGAAATCTCACTCCAAGTTGCATTTTTTCCTGTTCTCCAAAGGCTTTCGCCATACGATCCCAAAACTTATTGGATGTCTGATAAACACCTATTATCGGGTCATGAGAAATATATACTTAACATTGAAGTTTGTCTACTTCTTTTAAATATCCAATAGAATGAGTATCACGTTCATGCATTGATACAAGACTTTTTAGGACTTGATTCAATCACCCAAGCTTCTACTAATCAATTGTAGTATAGCATAGGGTTTTATCAATCCAAAAGGAGAGAATGAAGCAGTAAGAATGCAATAGAGCTCTTAATTCAAGCAAACATAGATAGTTAGATGTCTACCAACCTAAAAGATCAAACAGAAGTGAAGAGAACATCAAACAAAGAGTGACAAGCAAGCAAAGCAACTAAAAACTAAGAAAAAAACAGAATGCATGAAAAACTATCCTAAATGCATGCAAAATATGCAAAATATATGGTAATATCAACTCCTCCAAACTTGCCTTTTGCTTTCCCTCAAGCAAACAAAATTCAAGAAAGGAAGAGAGGTTTGAAAGTGGAAGCTCAAAACGAAAGATGTCAATGGGAACGGTTTTATGCCCTTCAATCTTTTTTTCCACCAAACGTCATGGGTTTGGAGAAGAGAATGAAGGAGTGATCCATACCACAAGCCATGGTTGGATCTTATTTTGTTTTCAAGGCCTAGAGAACCTCTCAATAAGAGTAGATCTAATGTTTTCAAACTAAGCTTTGACCTTTGAAACCCACGAACGTGACCCTCAACCCTAGACCCTATTTCTTAGACTTTTAAGTCATTTAATATCATTCTATCATCATAAAGTTGTGTTCTTGTCAATTGCATATTGCATCATTTCATCATTCTAGGTTGTTTAGACGAGATCGATCGTTGTTGCTCGATCTAGTTGTCGATCCACTAGTCATATTACAGCATTGAGGATGTGTTGACAGAGGATAATCCTGACAGCGATGTCAACATGGGTGCCATTTTTGCCCATCACTTGGCTTTGCTAAAGGCCAAGGCGTTCACTGGAGCTCGGGGCAAGCCCGAGAGTATTGGCAGTCTCCTCACTCCCATCTTCTGCTACTGCCGTATCGACACTTCGACTTGCAGAGTTGTGTCTGAGCGCCACCTCATAGACATGGATTACTTGAGGAGGACACACTGGATCGCAGGAGATGAGCCACTATGGAGCTTCGTTAGTCACACTGGTCAGCGATGCCTTATTCCGCTGCCACAAACTGCTCTAACTACACTGCAGATGGACTCCCTCAGTTTCCAGCCTGATGCTACATTGCTACGATCCGCGCCAGCTACTATGCGCCAGGAGGATCTTCCCGAGCTGCTGCTTCTGCTGCTGAAGATGCGCCTGTTGAGGGACTTGGTGGAGGTTCCTCTCGTCGAGCGAGCGCACCACGGATGCTGCCTCCGCCGATTGGTCGACATGAGCTTCCAACGACTCCCGACATTCCGATGGAGCAGGCTACTTTTCAGCGTTATGTGGTGCAGAGTATTCAGGCGTTGTGGAACGCAGTTTCAGTGATTTCCAACTGCGGTTGTGTTCGCCCACACTCACCTGATACTGAGTATGAGGATTAGTTCCTCTAGCTATCGTGGTTACTTTTTCTTTTCCCTTTGTTATTTTTCATTTTCTCTTGAGTCAGTTTTTATGTCTTTGTCTTGAGTCAGTTTGTCGACTTTTATTGTGTTTTGAAATTTGTTTAAACTGATGAGATTATGGATTATGTTGTTGCTTTTAATTGTTTGCTTGAGTGTTCTTAACAGTCTTGACTTGGGAGAACTTCAGCTAACAATCTAACTTGCAACAAATACACATGTTTGGGTCATCTTATTCTCTTTTCGGACAGGGTGTCGATCGACACCACGCGCAGTCATAGGTACCATTTTCTCATCTCTGTACAAACCGTTTATTTGCCTATTTTTACCAACTCCTTACTTGATAACATTGGGGACAGTGTTGTTCAAGTCTGGGGGAGGTCGTTGCTGACATTGTGTACATTGTTTTGTATTTATAGAGTCTCAAAGTTGAGTCAACCTGTTTTATTGAGTCAAAATTTTTGAAATTGTCAGTTTTTCTTGGAACAAACCACAAAACATTGATGCTTATAAGAACCATTGCCATAGTTGATGATTGGAAGTCTTACTAAGTTGAAAGTCATAGGTAGATCAGTCTAGCAATGAAGGTTTATGTCCTTAGAGAATCTGGAAACTTTTCTGTTAGCTCCACTTAAATAAACTTAAATCTTCTAGTCTTGGTGCTTGATTCTCTTTGATCTTGATTCTCTCTTCTAACACTGACAAGTATGTTAAAACACAGTTTCTCTTTGATCTTTCCTGATAGAGCTTTAAAAGTTTAAGTCAAAAGAATGGTGCATTCATGACCCTGTCTCCTCACAAGGAACAACAGTAATGAACACACTCAAGAACCTGTCTCCTCACACGGAACACAAGTATTGAGTAGCACCAATTCTTATACTGTAAAAGAATAAGAAAGAACTGAAAAACAAAAAAAATTATAAGAAAGAAAAGATCAAGAGAAGAGAAAATAGGAGAACTGTATTGAGGCTGCTTTGTTCAGTTGTTTAGGAAGGGAAAAGAATCTATAAGTGATAGATATGATAAAACCTTGATGAGACATCACTTAGATAGAAATAAGGAGCTTGGCAGTAGAGATTTCGGATTTCTTGAAAGAGCTTGAACTGGATTTGAAAGATTTGCTAAGCCTGTGCTGATTAGACTGAAATTTGCTCTTGTTGTGACCATGTGGTATGTGGATTTGAAAGTGGTAATCAATGTGGTGTTCCTGATGTCTGACTGACTTTTTCTGTGTTTTCAAACCTCTACTCTAGGCTGTGTCTGATTTTTCCTAAAGGGCAAGCAAAAGATAAGTCTGGGGGAGTTGATATATCATGGTTTTTGCTGGTTTTTGACGATGATATAAATCTTGCCTTACTACAACATTCCGTGCATTAGAGTTTTGATAACCTCTCTGCTGCATAACACGAGCTAAGAAATCGTTTATCAAATGGCGCCATTGCTATTCTAGGAGTGTTTAGAGAACATAGAGATTTGGGTCTTAGCAAAGACTAAGTCTTTACCTTTTTCAAGTTACTAAAACATCTACTCTCAAACGTGTGTTTTCAGGTACATGAATCTTCATTCAAGGGGAGACAACAATCTTCTACAACCCTTAGACAACATTCATCAACTTGGTCACTCACGACAAAGGAGAGTCATGGAGCAAACAAGAGCCTTTGAGGAGATTGTTCAGCACGGCTTGGTTAACTTTGAAGACATGGCTGAACACGAGCATCCAGAAGGACCTACTCCAGCAGCACAGGGCAATGGAAACCCCCAACACGTGGCTAGACCCCCGAGGATCATAGGAGCCGGAGATGCTCCCAATACCCACCACAATAGGTTTGGGATCACTCCTCCTCCGGTACAAAACAATAACTACGAGATCAAGCCAGGTTTCATCTCCATGGTGCAAAACAACAAGTTCCACGGCTTAGCAATGGAAGACCCCTTGGAGCACTTGGACAATTTCGAGCAAGTATGCGGGATGATCAAGATCAATGGCATATCCAAAGATGCTTTCAAGCTGCGTCTCTTCCCCTTTTCAGTCGGAGACAAAGCTAGACATTGGGAGAAGACCCTCCCACAAGGCACCATCACATCATGGGCTGAGTGTAAGAAGGCCTTTCTCTCAAAGTTCTTCTCAAGCACCAG